GATTGCCGAAGAAAAGAGAGTTCGACAGAGTTCCCAAACCAACACCCCAAAAAATTAAAAAAAAAAGGGTTAGAGAGATAAGTTGTATTGAAATACGTGTACCAATGAAATGTCGATCTTAAGGAAGAAAAGCTACTGGACTTTGGATGTTTTTTATCTGCACATGGATGGATTGTTCTCAATTAAGATCAAAGCCGGTTATAACGCGGATATTTTCTCAATGCGTTATCGGCTTATTCATGATTGGTTGCTTACTCAGGCCACTTAAGGCATGACTATGTAATTAAATATACATATTTTGATAAAATGCTATTTAGCTTAGAACGGTTTGTTTCTATAAATGATCCTGAAAATTGAACCACAAATGTAGCTTAACGGCCTTAGCAATATGAGTGCATTTTAGAAGCTCAAATTTTCGTCACGTGACTGATAATTGAGAATTAACGGTCAAAATATTTACTCTAAAATGGGGAAAGGATAATGAAAAAGCAACAAGTTCTTTTAGGTACATTTCAGAGGCTATTAACGTTAACGTGCTTACGTTATATAGGAATCGGTAAATAAAGGGAAAAGGGTCACGTGACTTATTAATAGGATAAATAACATTTCCATTCATACAAGGCGAATTTACGATTTACACTGTTTAGGTAACATTTTGGTAGTGAAAATTCCTAAGATTAAGGTTTGCAACCCTTCCCCGTTTAGGAAATCGTGTTTTGTGACATCATTGACGAAGCGATGTCACGTGTTATTTGGAATCACGTTTCACGTGATTTTTTTGTTGAGACACATTTGTAGTTCACTTTTCAGGAGCACTGATGGAGGCAAACCGTTCTAAAAAGCATTTACTAAAATATGCATATTTAATTAGGTAGTCATGCCGTAAGTGGCCTGAGTATTTTGACGCTATCGCGGTTTTGACTTTTTTTTCATGGGGTGGATTGAAAAGTATGGTGAACTAACGTCATTTTTTTATGCGTCTGTCCTGTTTCCGTTGATAAACTGTGTCATAAACTTTGACAACGTTACGACGAAATTTAACATCTTTAAGAAAACACCACGCCCAAACTAAAGTGACGTCATTTTAGAAACAAAAATCAAAGAGAGCAATATTAATCTCACGTCAAGGGAAAAGATTACCCAAGCAAAATTCAGACAATTTATGAATTTTATATTCTACAAATGAGGTGATTATTATTTTATAAGTAAGGTTATTGTCGTCAGCAGCATTTGCAAAGATGCTTGAGATAGCGTGTCAGCGATAACTAGGGTGAAGCCCTTGCGATCCTTTACTCTGAAGCTGTACAGCATGCTTTGCAGATGACGAGGAGCAAGTGCAAGGGAACGTTTGAAAATCACCTCCAAGGGCGTATGATTGGTATGTACTGTGATGTCCCCTTTGCAAAAAGCAATTGATCGAACTCCTTCAGTAAAGGCATGGACGATAGTCAGGGTCTCTTTCTCAATCAATTTTATGCGTATTTCTGTTCTGTGGGCTTGCAGTAGAGAACTAAAACTGTAGGCAACAGTTTGTCACTCAATTTAAGAAACGTTTGGTGACACTAGATTCGATTCTCCCAGTGCTATTTAATCCCCGGGTCGACGGCCCGGCGCAATTTCCATTCTTCTTTTCTCCCGCGTTTATTTACAGGTTAGGAATTTTTATTACAGCAAGGGTTATGTTCTGACTGTCAGCCCACTTCAGCTATAAACAGTAAGGGGTTAAAACAGTATGCCCAGCCTTTAACCATAGGAATAACTTTTATCGGGATCAAGCACCACTACAATGATGTGCCAGACAGACGTTTAAAGCACAATTGTGCCAATCATATTCGCTATATCAGACTGCTTGATTCAATAAAAAGACTTTAATCAATAGCTCAGTACCATCAAATTCAGGACGAGACTTTACATATGTTGCAGAGATACAGCTTTTAATGAAAACAAAAACAGTATAACCGTTTATGAGCAGGTCTTAGAAAAAGTAGCGTTTGCAGCTAGGTTAAATGAAGACTACGGCGAATTTTTTTGCCCTTTGGGTGATTCCTGCTGAAAATTAATTTCAAGCGCCGATTTTTGCCGCAATTTTATGGCGTTTATGCAGTTGTTTCATAGGGTGCATGTAGGCTGGTACATGCAATGAAAACTGTAATCGCCTCAGCTCTATGTCTTAGGTAGCTTACTCTCAAAAAATACAAATGAAATCAGTTCACGGGCGCAAAAAGCACTAGCTTGGAAACGCATACTTGCGAATACTTGCGTAGCCTGTTCACAGACCCTCTATTTTCTCTTCAAAGTCCGTCGGGTGATAAAATATAAACCGCAGGGGATTTATTGACCGCCAGCGCAAGGGGATAGTGGTGGGGATTTTTCTTTATCGCCCTCCGCGCTCATTCTCGCGCGCTCGCTTCGCTCGCGCGCTCGCCGTTGTTTTCGAAAAGAACGTTAGGCCGCAGGAAACACAAGCTTGAAATATAAGCGTCGGCGAACATCGGCATTGTTGCGTAACCTTATACAAAATGTGTGTTACGTCTCTCCTATGTGGTCCATGGGCCGATTTATGGCCGTTTTATGGGTAAAAGGTTTTCTCTATATATTAAGGTTCATACACAGGTTGCCCAAGCTCGACAAACATCGGCATTGCTGCATAACATTCGAAATATAAGGATTTGTACGGAAAAAAAAACCTTTCGTTTCCGTAACCTACGAAAATGAAAGGATTTCAATAAAAAACAGCTTACTTTACATAAAATGTGTGTTTAATACGTCTCTCCTGTGTGGTCAGATTTTTTATGGCCCTTTTAAGGGTTTTACTGTAAACTGTTTTCTCTCTATATAAAGGTATTTATTGAGAGAAATCCTTTCATTTTCGTAGGCTACGAAATTTCTCTATTTATATAGAGAAATCCTTTCATTTTCGTAGGTTACGGAAATGATAGGGTTTTTTTTCCATACAAATCCTTATATTTCGAATGTTACGCAACAATGCCGATGTTCGCCGACGCTTATATTTCGAGTTTGGTTGACCTGTGGTTAGGCCCAGTTCAAACGTGGAATTTCACCTGTGCCAAACTTAATTCCTGTTTTAGTCGACTAAAATAGTTAAACACGGCAGTTGATTCAAACGCCGAATTTAACTCTGTTCGCTGTCAATATTTCCAGTCTCTCTAAATAAAAATTCATCAGATTCATGCACCTAAGTCGAATCTTCGAATGTTTCAGTCGCTTACACGGCGAAAGTAGCATTTAATTTAAACTGTCGTTATGGCGACTTTACCGTAAACGTGAATCTAAGGCTATGTTGACACTGTAATGGAAAACTTAAAACTTAAAAGCTATCCAGTATGATATGAATATCTATCCGATGTGACTCCCCACTTTAGAGATCGGCGCTGCGTAGTTTCGCTCCGTTACAGAAATCGCGCCGAAATCACCGTTCTCACGTTTGAACAGAAGCCCTATCCTGCATAGTTTTCGCGCCGGCGCAAAAGCTATCCGGCATAGTGTTAACATTTTCTAAAACTCACTAATATTATGACGCTTTTTAAAAGTCGGTCTTAGCGGTGACCAGTTTTGAGGATTGCCGAAGAAAAGAGAGTTCGACAGAGTTCCCAAACCAACACCCCAAAAAATTAAAAAAAAAAGGGTTAGAGAGATAAGTTGTATTGAAATACGTGTACCAATGAAATGTCGATCTTAAGGAAGAAAAGCTACTGGACTTTGGATGTTTTTTATCTGCACATGGATGGATTGTTCTCAATTAAGATCAAAGCCGGTTATAACGCGGATATTTTCTCAATGCGTTATCGGCTTATTCATGATTGGTTGCTTACTCAGGCCACTTAAGGCATGACTATGTAATTAAATATACATATTTTGATAAAATGCTATTTAGCTTAGAACGGTTTGTTTCTATAAATGATCCTGAAAATTGAACCACAAATGTAGCTTAACGGCCTTAGCAATATGAGTGCATTTTAGAAGCTCAAATTTTCGTCACGTGACTGATAATTGAGAATTAACGGTCAAAATATTTACTCTAAAATGGGGAAAGGATAATGAAAAAGCAACAAGTTCTTTTAGGTACATTTCAGAGGCTATTAACGTTAACGTGCTTACGTTATATAGGAATCGGTAAATAAAGGGAAAAGGGTCACGTGACTTATTAATAGGATAAATAACATTTCCATTCATACAAGGCGAATTTACGATTTACACTGTTTAGGTAACATTTTGGTAGTGAAAATTCCTAAGATTAAGGTTTGCAACCCTTCCCCGTTTAGGAAATCGTGTTTTGTGACATCATTGACGAAGCGATGTCACGTGTTATTTGGAATCACGTTTCACGTGATTTTTTTGTTGAGACACATTTGTAGTTCACTTTTCAGGAGCACTGATGGAGGCAAACCGTTCTAAAAAGCATTTACTAAAATATGCATATTTAATTAGGTAGTCATGCCGTAAGTGGCCTGAGTATTTTGACGCTATCGCGGTTTTGACTTTTTTTTCATGGGGTGGATTGAANATGTTACGCAACAATGCCGATGTTCGCCGACGCTTATATTTCGAGTTTGGTTGACCTGTAGTTAGGTCCAGTTCAATTTGGAATTTCACCTGTGCCAAACTTAATTCCTGTTTTAGTCGACTAAAATAGTTAAATACGGCAGTTGATTCAAACGCCGAATTTAACTCTGACGTATTTAACTCTGTTCGCTGTCAATATTTCCAGTCTCTCTAAATAAAAATTCATCAGATTCATGCACCTAAGTCGAATCTTCGAATGTTTCAGTCGCTTACACGGCGAAAGTAGCATTTAATTTAAACTGTCGAATTTAATTGATTCAAACGTCGCACTTCACATGCATTTAACTCTCGCAATAAGTTCGGCGACAAGTTCGGCACGTTTTGGAAATCAGCATTTAGTTCCCAAATCTCTCCCGGTCTTGCACAATCGCATAATTTCGTATTAAATTTCGAGGACAGATAACGGTAACAAACTTATGGAAACTTCGATTTCTCTGCAAGAATTACAAAAGCACAACAAAGTCGACGATGCTTGGATAGTAATCAATGGAAAGGTATTACTTCTGAAGGTTTTGTTAACGATAAATCTCTTTTATTGTAAGATGCTAATCTTTGCTTACGGTAGGTCGAAACAATCAAACTGCATGCCGGTGAGCTTCAGTAAAAGACAAATAAATGTCTTAACGGTGCCAGAGTGGGGATTTTTTGTCTGGTTAGCGATCGAGGCCTACAATAGTGCACACAGTATGCTGTTCTTTATATAAGGGAACAATCAACAGCCTTTTTTGAAACGTCAGATCGCAGCATAGTCTTCCTCTCAAAGACAAGACGGGTCTTCCTCCCAGCCGTTTTTAGTGACGTCACGCAACGCTACCCCCCACCTAACAAGCGTTGCGTGATGACACTACTAATCGTGGGAAAATTCAAATTAACCCCTGAGGGAGACCAATGTGGGCAACTCTTGCCTAATTACATAGAGAAGCTGCTCACAATGATTTGAACAACTCTACACAACAATTTTTTTTAGCTTATCGTTACTACAATATTAAAATGGTACTCAAAAAAGGCCCAAGGATTAAAAAAGTATGGTATTATTTTTCCCACATTATTACAGCAATAGTATAGCTTTTACAATCTTCAGGAGTTTTTAGTCATCTTCAGTAACTTTTGGAAGTTGCCAGAACTTCTTTTGCATTGTTTAGGAGTCATCTGAACATTCTTATGGATACAAAAAAACTTACTCAGGAAAAGATTGCTGATAGATAATTTCCAAATACTGTGCATTAAGTAAAATATTGTTTGAGTGAGACCTGTAACTGTTGTAATTAAAAATATAAATAATCCCAGCTTTCGCTGATCAACCGCATCATCAGGGATGAGAAAATATTCTGCATAGAGCTATATGTATAAAAAGTTGGTGTAAAGTAAAATGCATGAAAAGCATGAGAATGAGGCAAAGTATGAGAGGCATAAACAAAAAATTTGAAATAATCTAATGAGCAAGTGTCACAGAGTCTCTCAAATGTAAGAAGATAGTCTCTAAAACTATTAAGGTTGCTTGACATATGTGTTATTGACCAAGCATGAGGTCAAGATGGCTGGATATTAGCAGATTTCTTTTTTGCATTTTTGTTGAGGTCTATATAAATGCAGAAAAGAATCACGTCAATATTTAGCCATCTTGACCGAACGAGCTTGGTCAATAAGGATTCATTATAATGGCCAAAAAAGATCTTTTACTTGCAGGACCAATGCGGGAAATCCTGAGTGGGCAAGATGAGCCCATCTTGGCCGCTTGGGTAGCCAATCAGAATGCAGGATTCCCTTCATCTAAGTTTCTGTTCGTTGATTCAGCCATATAACAATGTGACATATTGCATTATCAGGTGTATGATGTCTCGGATTATGTGACCACTCATCCTGGACAGGAAGCCATTCTCAAAAATGTTGGTGGAGACTCAACACAGGGGTTTACCCAACAACCTGCACATAGAGTTGTAAAAAACCATATTTCATCTCTGCTGGAAAAGTTTTATGTAGGTGACTTATCACCAACAGATGTAAAACGTGGTGGACCAACTTAGTTATTATGGTATGTTAAGAAAAAACTGTGGCAAAAATAATGAAATGATGTAGTTTTGGGAATCTGAATATCACATGGCATAAGACAAACCTGTGTTTTCACATGAGAATTAGTCACTACAGTATTTTCCAAGTTCCCTGCCACAACCTTGGAGCAGTAAATTAATAAAGAGGCTTTGATAATATTGTTAAGAATTGAATTTGCACTAAGGTTTACTCTCATCCATTCATTAATATTTCTCCATTTCTGATTGGCTCAAATCCCAAGGCTAATTCTTGATAACCAAATTTGGAAGACGTCCGTGATGTCCTGAACATGACATCAAATAGTACAGGGTAATTGCCAGAAAAAGGGATGGCAACCAAGAAGTTCTGGGGATAAGGTTGCTTAGTTTTTGTAGACTAGTAGAAAATGGCATCTAACAGTTCACATGTTTTGTGTAGAAGAAATAGCTGAATTGCTGCCTAAAAGCATAGCATAACAGCAAGAATACAACTTGATGGATAACATCTGCTTTTTGAAGAATACCTGCTACACTAAACATCCCTTTATATCCTGAACTTGCTGTGAAACAGGCAAATGAAGACCTTAAAAATTTTCGGCGTCACTGAAACTGCTGCAAGAGAAGGATTTGCTACTGATGAAACTGGAAGTGTTTTGAATTTCAAAGCACCTTTAGTCTGAAACAAAGAAAGCAGTTCTTGCGAATAAGCAAATAATTTGTAACATTTTGGGTGATAATGAATTTTATGTTTTCTTTCTTGATCTTATATATAGGTGACAGACAGAAATAATCATGACACCACTTCACATCTTTCGGCGTAATAATGTTCAACACACTCCACCAACATCTTTGCTGCAGTACTACATTCATCCCATCGGTTTTTTGTTGTGCTGGATAGAGATTCCATGTTCTCTGTACACTGAAGACATCGCTTGAGGAACCTGCAAGAATGTGTGAAAAATAATGATAAATTAAAGTAACTGCTTGTTGTTTTGGAAACAATGGTGACATTGCAAGCCATAACCTCTATGTCATGTTGTTGTTGTCTCCAAACATGCATGTAAATTCACAAACTTACTTAATAGACTCTGTTTTGTGGAAAACATAAGAAGTCATTCTGTGATTTAATGCAGGGTTACCAGGACAGTAGACTTTGTAAATAAATGTAATAAAACAAAACTGCCTGCATGATTCTAGCTAGTCATTTAGAAACTACTTAGCTAGTTTTACTCTTTATATTCTATCCACAGTAATGTTGATGCTTAAAAATAGATCTTTGTTTTTATGGATGTTTTTCACTTTTACTTGAATGGGTTTAGATCAATTGATTTTGAATCATGTTACCAAAAATAAAGCTGCAGTTTTATTACCTGATGAAAGTATTCCTGTTACTTTGATCTCTGTTCTTTGGCAGTTGAAGCAGTTCTATGACAATGATGATGACAATAAACTGCAGGGCTACAAATGTGAGTGGAACCTGTGACCACAATCGTTTGTAGTTTGTCCTTTGCCGCTGTCTTAGCTGCCTGTTCTGCCACTGTTCAAATCTCACTGAGGCTGTCTCACAGATCTGGTTGAAAAGACAACCAAATCTTCAGCATTCTATTTTTCTTCCTTGTAAAATTAATTAACAAATTTTATCCACAAGGAAAATATTAAAGAAATTGACATTTAATGAGTGTGTGTATATCTTGGAATAGTTACTATTCTCAATCAATTACCAAAGTTAAAAACTACCACAAAATCTCTATTCATAAATAATGGCTGAAAAAGAAAAACCTTACTTTGAACTGAGGTTGTTTAAATTGGTGGGGAGATATAAAAAACATCATGCTCCAGTGACTCCATATAGGTCTTAATTCTAAAATAAGCCAGGAATGTAAATGTTACGATCCAGGCCTATTTTAGAAGAATTTGTATGGAGGCATCAGAGCATAATGGTGCTTATAACCCCCCACCCATTTACACTTGTTCAATCTGAATATGGCAACTAATCTCATAAATTCACAAATTTGAATTTTTGAGACAACACCTCTTTACTTTACTAAATATTTACCACATTTAATTTGGTAATAAGAAAACTTTGATGAGGAACCCTACAGACTACAGATGAGGTGTGTTCCTACTTACCTGTCTAGAAATTACAATTCCATGCTGTGCTATGTTCCTTAGTAAGACAGCTACCTCTATTTCCTCTTTAGGCCTGTACAGGGTAGGAAATTGTGCTACGTTCAATAGTTCTACCACAACTTCAACAAAAGTGTAAACTTTTCCCAAATCAAATTGAAGTGGAAACAGCTTGGATACATTGTCTTCAGATAATGACGATGATGTGATTAACTTTTTGCAAGCTCTCATGGCATCTGCAATCTGTGTAGACAGTTTTTTATCACTGCTCTCTAAACCACTGAATTCATCCGCAAATGGATTGGGTAAATCCCGCCATTTTAATAAAGAAAGTGTCAGTTTACACACTGTCTTTCTTGCAAGAGAAACTGGATGAAAGCGTGATTTGTAACTCCTTGCTATTTCACAAATTCTTTTGCTGTTTGGAAATAGATAATCACCACTGAATCGGTTGATCTTATCTGGGTAAAGGTACAATCCTGCAAACGCTATGCACAGGCATAAAATGTGATTGGCTGATTCTTGTGAGATTTCTTGCAGATTAACTTCTCCATGACTTATGTGGTCCCTAATCCTTGGTCCCTCCTGATGAACAAGAATATCAAGCAACAATTCCAAATGGCCTTCTCCTATTTCTTGTCTCAAAAGATTGTCAGAACCATCTTGTAAAACTGGTGACAGTATCTAACGAGAAAAATGGACAAAAACATGCTAAGGGCACAATTTCATGTCCTCAGTGCCATCAATATTATATATTATCTGCTTTTGGGTAATTTGGAAGGATACGAATCATAATTTAATAATAAAACAGGGTTGTCAAAAGTAGTCAGCTGCCGGCAAAAATCGCCACCTACTTGGTTAGTATCGGCTGGCCTACTCTGCTTGGCATTTCTTTACAGATGGCATTTTTTAAATAAAATATCCTTGGACTGGCCACTCACTTTGACAACACAGCTGTCTACTTCCAAACTTTCTGACAACCTTGAATAAAATAATGGTGGACAGACGTATGAAGATAATCAAAAAAAGCCCAACCTCCTCACATACAGTGTTGTATTGGTTTTCCAACCATCTCCCCCCCCCCCCCCCCCCCCCCATCTAAAAAAACCCCCGGTTATTTAAAAAAAAAATCTTAATAACAATAAATTAATAAAAAAACAACCACACGAAAAACGCAGACCAAAATTGTTCCCCGGAAAAGGCCAAAGAGGGGCCGTATTTCAGTCCTTAAAACAACCAAAACAAAAAAAGAAAAANATGGTTTTGCCAGTTTTAATAAATAAATCCAAGGTAGTATGTTTATTTACCTCATCAAATGTGGTATACAATACTGTAGACTCTGCAGTCAGTGCTCTATGTGGACAATTATTAACACAAGCAAATACTCTTCTCAAGCCGTGCTCTAATTGAGGCAGCAGCAGAACAATGCACAAGTCAAATCTGAATGGTATAAACCAGTAATAGTTAATATAATAATTAACAAACTTGAAGGAAAGAGCTGAGAAGGAAGCCATTAGAGAAAAGGCATGTAGTCTTAATTAGGAGAGAGGGATCCCTAAGATAGGCTGTGTAGCAAACGTTTTTGTGCAGCTTCGGAGCAAAGAACAAGAATCACGGAAATGTTTGCTATGAGGGCTTTCCCGAAGAGAAAGGAAAGGGGGTAGGAGAGAACGAAGCACAAAGAAGTAAACTATAAGGAAAAATAAAGGAGCCATAGAGAAGAGTGGAGTGAGCAACAAAAGAGAAGGGAGGAGGGACTGTAAGTCATAGGGGATTAAGGAAGGGAACTAATTACAGAAGGGGAGATTAAGGAGCCATTGAGAAGAGACGGGACTATTAGTAAAAAAAAAAGGCAAAAGAAATGTGAGTGATGGACAGGGGAGGGAACATTAGAGAAGGGGGAGGGAACCATTAAGGAAGGGGAAAGGAGCAATAGTGAATGAGAGAAAGGAACTGTTAGAGATGAGGAAAGGAACTGTGGGTGGAGCAGGGAGGGACCCATTAGGGAAGAGGAGTTACAGGATTTCTGTTAGAGAAATGGAGACATTGTCTAACAAAAACATAAAGATGATTGCAAATTGGTGCAGTAAACAGTGTAAATAACGGCTGTGATTACAAGTATTACTTGTACCTTTGTATCAAGAAATAATCCACTGCTTTAAGCCACAAGGGAAGCATGCTTGGAATAATAAAGAAACTTGCACAAAATAAGTCAGATATCTCCTGAATGCTAGATAGTTCCAAAGAAGGGAAAATGCTGTTGTCTTCCCCAGTACAAGGAGATAATCTCAGTAAAGGTCTTCTTATTAATACTCTTGAAAAGAATGGGGCATCTTTCAACTTGTTACTAAGAGATGCAGTAATGAACAACAACAATGAGGCATACCTAACGACATAAGAAACACATTATAATGAAAATATTCAGATTATATGATGGTGTTCAGTTTAGTTGCTTGTCACTTTAATACTTAAACCTTCGTCCTTTTGTAAAAAAATAAAGGAATTATTACTAAATTTCTTGCGGTCAGAAAATGATTATGTCAAAGTCTCCCTTCTTATTAAGTTATTTAATACTTTAGGTTAGCCTCTCTTCATAATTGTTATGTACTTGCCTTGTTTTATGTTAGTTTATTCTATTTACTGTATAGTAGTGTCTTCACTGTTATTTAGTCCATCTATATATAAACCTTGTACTTGTAATATGTCTTCAGATCCCCCCGCCTCAATTAGTTTATAAGCTATTTGCAGGTGGGAAAGTAATGTATAGTTATATTTCCAATTTTCAATAAAATTTGTTGTTTTTGTTGTCACTTTCTATCTTAAAATCAGTGGTCATTTTCATAATGGAGTTAACTATTGTGGTAAAAATAGCTCACACCTGAGTCAAACTTGAAAATTCAAAAGCACCAAACATACATACATGTATATACATACATACATCTTATTCGTTTTCAAGATTGAAATACCTTATTTTAACACGCCTGCAGGTAGCTATGCTAATCTAGGCAGGTAATGCTTTCAGGAAATAGGAACTCATGAATGCGGAAATGCAGAGCACCAGCAAAAGTGTCTGTTTGCCACAAAAGAATGTGACAAACATGCAGTTAACAAGAGTTTGCTCCTTAGCATAAGGTTTGGCATATGTGAAGATTGACCTTTTACCTTGGCCTAAGGGACTATGAATTAAAAGTAGGTGACATAACTGTACTTGTTACCATCAAGATGGCACTTACTGAGTAGGCACTTCTCCAGGTGCAGCAAATCCATGCCACAGAACGTTCCTAAGATTGAGACTAGTAGGTGGACCAATTAAAATGTGAAGCAAGGTGATAACAGCATCACCAAATACTTCCTTTAGCTCTTGTGTAGTCAGTAAGTCCTTCAATAAAGAGGGGCACTGTTTGGCACCAGAATAGGATAGATACACATCACCTAGGGCATGTTCCAGTGAGGATGTTAACAATAAAAGGCACAAGTTATGATCTGCAGGGTGAGAGGACTTGAGTAAACTAAAGCAGTTTATAAATCTATCAATGCATCCAGTCCACTCTAAGTTCTCCTTGTAGCTTTGTTCGAATTCCTGTGGCTCCAGGTTTATGAAAAATTGATGAATGGCACAACACATTGGACGTAATCTTTTCACTGCCTCAGGATAGTCACAGTTTGAAGCATCCACAGTGGTAATATCTAGAGACCAAGAAAAAATCTTGATGACAATTTATAGGCACATGGCTGAGCTCACGCAATATGAAGCTGATGCTCATTCTGTCATTAAAATTCATAATTTGCCAAATGCAATTCTTGATCGCTCAAACAGCCCCAAAGACAACTGACCAAGGATGCCAGTAACAGGTAGAATTGAACCATGCAGAGTGGGCTGCTGGCAGGGTGGGGAATGCACTCCCTATAATGGCCTATACATGGAGACTCCGCCCGAAAGGTGTACCTATTTCGGGCTTTAGGCATATCAAGGGGTAGGGAATTGGTGAGTTGAAATATATGAAAGAGTAGGAAAATCTATCATGGAGCTGATTATCCTTTCTTCTGAAAGACACCCCTCAGGATGCCATTTTTCAATGGAAGGTAACGATTAGGGTACTTTTTCTGTCAAAATGGTATTTAAAAGGGAGAGGAGTTGTTTGTTGGGGTGGAGCCACCCTGTTTAAATTTTTGTTGACTAAGTATTCCCTCGGGGCTGGCGGTAAGACTTTCTAAAAGTCCTTTACATTTTTTTGTCACTCGCTCAGTCGCTGCGCGACCTCTTTGAAGCTTGCTTCACTCACTTTTTCTCACTCACTTTGCTTATCAGAGGTCGACTTGCAGCAAATCTAGGCTGGTGTCTAATTTCACTGGCTGAAAAAGACCTTACCACCGTCTCAAATTGCTCTGGAAAACAAACACGTGGGGTGATTTTAAAGCTGCAGTTGAGTAAGAAAGACAGCTTGAGTGATAAAAAAGCCTGTTTAGTTTTTCCTCAGCTAAATCCCTGACACATATATA